CAGCAGATGCTCACTGTTCTTGTATTCACTCTCATACAGGTGCTAATTTGTGTGCTCTGGTTAACATTATCCCCTCCTTTCTCCAACATCAACATGAAGTACTACAAAGACAAGCCAATTCCATGGTGTGCTGTAGGGTTGGATCTGGGATTCTCTGGTGTTTTAGAGCACATTGAAATTCTTGCGGTCTTGTGCTTTTTGACTGCTCTTTTTATTCATGTTCTGTATTGTGGTAAGGCAAAGCTTCTTTCATTAAGCATTATTATATACTGTGTCACATGGACAGCATTTATTGAACTGTATGTCAGATCACTAGCAAAGTATATGGTAATGAGTGAAATCATTTCAGTTTTGTCTTGAAAAAGAGCTAAAAATACAAATAATATTTTTTAAAAATGTCTGGCAATAAAATGTTGCTACTGTTAATCTAATGACTTCACACAGATCTTGATGCCATTAAAAGGAATAAATTATTAGTGTTTTTTTTTCAGTGTATACATCGGTGTATTATTTTCAAGATCGTGTTTAACTGTATCCGTAATTCCTTTCTTACTCACAGAAAAACATACTACACTTAAACAATTTTTCCCCAAAGAATAATTATTAATGTGTATTGCATAGTGGTCATTTAACTGCACATCCACCAATAAAACACGACAGAACATAAATGGAGTTCAAACTATACTTTAAAAAAAAGACTCCTCCATTTAACCAAAATCAGTTAACAGTGCACGTTTCTAAAGTAATTCCTGGAAGGTAAGACGTAAATACTCATTAACAATGCACCAGCTGTGACTTCATTCACCTCAGGAAGGGGTTACTTCTGCAGCTTTATAAGAAATAATTGTAATTCAAATTTAATTAAGTTCCTTCAGTTGCGTTTCCAGGTAAATTATATATTTGCCCTGAGGTATAACAAGTAATCTTGGTCCAAACCTTGTATTCAAGTCGTTCTGGTGACGTAATCGGTCACGCCCAATTAACTTGTTAGAAATTCTACTTAATTAGTTAGGATAATAGAAAAGCAGAGGGCATAAATTATTAAACCTAATAAAGTATGCTGTATTTTAACTTTAACACACATTCGTAATATATTTCCCGAGAACCTATTGCTGAAATCACCAACGGTCAACCCCCGCGAGCCAGCGACTAACTGGCGTCTCTCTCGTGAACGCTCACTCGCGTGCACACATTTAAACTATACTACAGTACGTCTGTACGCTATAAAATGTAAAATGTGAAAAGACGTGACATATTAAATATACTTATTTATCGATTGCAAGGGAAATTCAGTTAAACAACATCACTGCACAAGTACAGAGTATTTTTTACAAATGACTACAGGAGCAAGTGCTGATAGATATTCTTTACTCTTGTTTCTCCGTTCTTCTCCATGGTCTGCACGGAGCGCTCAGTCAATATCACCCCCCCCCCCCCCCCCGCCCCCAATGAATCTGGTAGCACTTTGTTTTGTCGCCCCTCACGGACAAATTCGCACTGCTGCCAACACAAACTAGGAACTCTTGTAAAAATTAATTTAAATCACAGTCAATGCATAAATATAGTTGTAGCAGCCAAGTAATGACAGGGGCGTCTTTAGATATGAATGGATGGGGCTGCGATGGCAAAACATATTGTAGCGCAGAGCAATAAGTACACATTTATTTGGGGAAAATAAAAAACATTTTATGGAGAGTAAAGCACCCCTGAAATAGGCCTGGCGATGCCCCTGACTGGCAATAATATAATATTTTTTTTCATATAATTATTACATTATTGGCTGTTACACCAACCATTAATGTAATAACGTATTACACTATATGCCCAAAAAGTGTTTTTTAAAAGCTTGTTTGCTACTTCTGAGGTCACAGCAACTATGGATGACCCTTGAGAACTGGTCACAGTGGGATGCTGGAATTGTTATAAATGCTTGTAGAATCTAAACTGTTCTCCAGATTGCAGCTCTGCCTGGACAGTCAATAATGAGAGAATTTGGAGTTATTCTGCTTGCTCTGTTAACAAGAGCTCAGAATCCCTCTTGCAAATTAGTTGGTAATGCTGAAGTTCCTGACCTATCAAAATATGGAGACTTTATAATAGGAGGTGTCTTCTCATTTGACAACATAAACACAAAAGACAACTTTGACTTCACCGTGAAACCAACATTTTCAAAATGCATAAGGTAAGACATCTCCAGGCACACAAACTATTTCATTTTAAACCTGTAAACCAAATACAATTTTAATCAAATGCACACGCATATCAGTGTGGGAAAAACAATATATTTTTTCACAAAATACAAGAAGCTAGTGCAGGTACAATTTCTCTTATGCAGATGAGATTTACTATACTCATTTAAACGTTGTGCATACTCCAAAGGATCATGTATGCTTGTCTGGGACCAAACAAATTAGATATGTTTTCCAAATAAAAAATATCCATGCTAGTGTATAATTGCCTAAAAATACTGTTGTGACATCTTAATTTCATGTCACTATAGCATTTGTTTGCTAATATATATATATATATATACTCAGCAAAAAAAGAAACGTCCCTTTTTCAGGACTGTGTATTTCAACAAATAAAAATCCAAATAACACACAACACACAAGCCCTCAGTCCAGCCTCTCTCAGCCTATTGCGGACAGTCTGAGCACTGATGGAGGGCTTGTGTGTTCCTGGTGTGACTCGGGCAGTTGTTGTGGCCATCGTGTACCTGTAACGCAGGTGTGATATTCGGATGTACCGATCCTGTGCAGGTGTTGTTACACGTGGTCTTCCACTGCGAGGATGATCAGCTGTCCTTCCTGTCTCCCTGTAGCGCTGTCTTAGGCGTCTCACAGTGCGGACATGGCAATTTACTGTATTGCCCTAGCCACATCAGCAGTCCTCATGCCTCCCTGCAGCATGCCTAATGCACGTTCACGCAGATGAGCAGGGACCCTGGGCATCTTTCTTTGGGTGTTTTTCACAGTCGGTAGACAAGTCTCTTTAGTGTCCTGCGTTTTTAGAACTGTGATCTTAAATGCCTACTTTTAAGGTCTTTACGACCATTCCACAGGTGCATGTTCATTAATTGATTATGGTTAATTGAACATGCATGGAAAACATTGTTTAAACCCTTTACAATGAAGATCTGTAAAGTTATTTGGATTTTTACAACATTATTGTTGAAATACACAGTCCTGAAAAAGGGACGTTTCTTTTTTTGCTGAGTATATATGTATATGTATACACACACGCACAGACGTAGAAAAAATTGAGACCACTCTATATTTGTAAGCAAATCTCCATTTTTAAATCCTGGTGTTCAATCGTGATTCTCCTGGCAGAACTCTATGTTGAGTAGCAGGTTGCTTACAGGTTCAAAATTTCTAAGTCAGCAGTACACTAGAATAAGGTGAAGCAGAAGACACTGGGAAAGGCCTGAAACCAGCCAGGTAAAGAGCGGAAGTGACATCATAATGCCAGAGATGACCGTTAACTTATCCGACAGTTTCATGAATCAAAGGATGACAAAAATGAGAGTGTGTCTGTGACAGCTGTACATTCTATGTCTTAAACTGCTTCTCTTCTCTATAAGAAAGAACTACAGGGAATATAAGCTTGCCCGTACGATGGTCTTCACCATTGCGGAGATTAACAGGAATAACAAGCTGCTTCCAGGTGTCACACTGGGCTACAGGATCTACAATGCCTGTGGAGACATACAGATTCTCAGTGCAGTGTTCACTGCTGTGTCTGGACCTGAGGATTGCAGCAACACCAGAGTGCAAGCACTTATTGGATGCTCCTCATCAGGACCCAGTAGTATAGTGAGCAAAACCATTGCCCCTTTACACATTCCCATGGTGAGAATCACTATAAAGATTGCAGTTAAAAATTAAGCCGCATCGTCATAGGTTACTGGTTTTACATCATTTGAAATTTCTGAATAGAATTATACTCTCTATTTTCCCCTTTATAGGTCAGTCACCTAGCAACCTGTGAATGTCTGAGTAATAGAAACATCTACCCTACATTTTTCAGAACTGTGCCCAGTGACCGCTTTCAGGTCATAGCCCTAGTTGAGCTCTTGAAATATTACGGCTGGACATGGGTGGGGTTTGTCTACAGCAATGAGATGTACGCTGAGGAAGGGGCAGCTGCATTTACAAAGCTTGCAAGGAAGGAGGAGATTTGTATTGAATACATAACACAGTTCATTGATACTGCTCCAGAAGAATATGCGCTTTCAATTGCAAAGACAATAAAAACATCCACTGCCAAAGTTGTGTTAGCTTTCATGTCCATGTCCTACTTCAGGAAATTCCTGGAAACAACAAAGAGTGCAAATATTACTGGTATACAGTGGATTGGTAGTGAGGCCTGGATCATAACAAGAGATTTAGCAACAGTGGGCAGTGTGAATTTACTACAGGGTGCAATGGGTTTTGCTATCACTGAATGCCTTATCCCAGGACTGAGAGACTTTTTGCTCGGCCTTCGACCATCAGACCATCCTGAAAGCACCTTCACTAGGGTGTTTTGGGAAACAGCCTTTAGTTGTCGCTTGTCTGTCAACAGCAGCTCTGGTTTTTCTAAACTGTGCAACGAGACAGAGGATGTAAGGACCATCACTAATGACTACACAGACATGTCAGAGTTTAGAACTGTCTACAGTGTGTACAAGGGAGTGTATGCTATAGCCCATGCACTGCACAGCCTCCTGGCCTGTCTCCACGGAGAGAACCCCAGCACTGGAGAGCCATGCTCTAAGAAGGATGACATTCAGCCATGGCAGGTGAGATCAGTAATACGGTAACAAAATGCAGATTTCAATTACTCTCATTATGATAAACAATGGAGTTTCAAAATACTTTTTATTATTATTTTCAGTAAAAAACATTCTCCACACAGGTGTTACGCCATTTGAAGATAATAAATTTTACCACCCATTGTGGGGACAAAGTATATTTTGATGAATATGGAGCTTCTGTCCCTCAATATGATTTGGTGAACTGGCAAATTGACACAAAAGGTTTTGTCAAAATCATCAATGTTGGCCGGTATGATGCGTCGTTACCAAGTGGACAGAGACTTAAGATAAAGCAGAATGTCAGTATTGTTTGGACTGGAAACCAAGACAAGGTGATTACATACAATGTATTGATTTCTAGGTATAATTCTACATCTATATATAAATTCTGCAGGCAGAAAGAGAGAGAAGTCAGAAATGTGACAGGAAGTGATGACAGACTAGATAGATAGATAGATAGACAGACAGACAGACAGACACACACAATTTAAAGTGCTACCATTCCCCAAAAGAAAAACTGATGTGATTGTTGCATCTCTGGAAGGTTCCGCAGTCTGTTTGCACAGAGAGCTGCCTGCCTGGAACGCGAAAAGCTTTGAATAAGAAAAGGCCCGTGTGCTGCTTTGACTGTATACACTGCGCTGAGGGAGAAATTAGCAACCAGACAGGTAACTTATCATGTCTGCCGGCGCAGGAACTTGTAAAGCATGTGGCTCTTTGTGGCCAAATTCTTGGTAATCAAGTTAAAATTTATGTTATATGTTTGTTTTCTGCCGTAACTTTTACGTTATGCGTGAATTATTATTTTGTTTCTATTATTTTTTACAGACTCAGTCACCTGCATTCAATGTCCTGAAGAATATTGGTCCAATGAAAATAGAGACCAGTGTGTTTCAAAAGTGACAGAATTCCTGTCCTATGATGACATTATGGGGACACTGCTTCTTGCCTTTGCTTGCTTTGGGGCACTTTTAGCTCTGATAATGTTAGCCGTGTTCCTGCACTCAAAAAACACGCCCATTGTCAGGGCCAACAACTCTGAGCTGAGCTTCCTGCTGCTCTTTTCCCTGACCCTGTGTTTCCTCTGCTCACTCACGTTCATCGGCCGACCCTCTCACTGGTCCTGTATGCTGCGCCACACGGCGTTTGGGATCACCTTTGTCCTCTGCATCTCTTGTGTTCTGGGGAAAACAATAGTGGTGTTAATGGCCTTCAGGGCTACACTCCCAGGCAGTAATGTCATGAAATGGTTTGGACCTCCTCAGCAGAGGCTCAGTGTTCTTGTATTCACTCTCATACAGGTGCTAATTTGTGTGCTCTGGTTAACATTATCCCCTCCTTTCCCCAACAAGAACATGAAGTACTACAAAGACAAGATCATTCTAGAGTGTGATGTGGGGTCAGCAGTGGGCTTCTGGGCTGTGCTGGGGTACATTGGTCTCCTCTCTGCCCTGTGCTTTGTACTGGCTTTTCTGGCCAGGAAGCTGCCTGACAACTTCAATGAAGCCAAATTCATCACCTTCAGCATGATCATATTCTGTGCCGTCTGGATCACCTTTATCCCAGCCTATGTCAGCTCACCTGGGAAGTTCACTGTGGCCGTTGAGATTTTTGCCATTTTAGCTTCCAGTTTTGGTTTACTTTTCTCTATTTTTCTGCCCAAATGTTATATTATTGTTTTTAAGCCTGAATTAAATTCAAAGAAGCATTTAATGGGCAAAATGGCATCAAAATCACTGTAAGCTGAAATGAAAAATAATTTCAATTTAAAATATATGCTTGTCTAAATCTAATTTAATAAACATCATTTTATCTTGAACATATTGTTTATATTTGCTATTTGGAATAATTAATACCAGGGGCGTCAGAAGCATTTTGAATGTGGGGGGGACACACTGGCATAAAACTAATATTTTATGTTAAATGTGGGGGGGTCCAAACGAATAATTATGAATTGTGAGAGGGGCGCATCAACTTGTCATGTACCGTGTTGGACGAGCGAGCGGGGAGCGGGAACGCAGGATCAAGGAGACCGGAAGCCAAGGGCAACGGGGTTTATTTAGGGAGAACAAGCAGACAGGGGAGCACTAGGTAAACAACGTCAATGACAGACCTGGGGAAACAGACTTGAACGCGGACTGAAATACACAAGACAAGCTGAAATAACAGGAAACAGGTGATCTCAGTCGGGGTAGTACGCGAGGGAAATGAGGGGGCGTGGCACACACGAGGACTGGACGCACAGGTCATGACACCCCTCAGATTTAATGGCGGCGACGCCCATGATTAACACCAATGAAACAATTACTATCAAGAAAACACGTGTAATTTGATTTAATCCAATTTATTTACAGCTATTTGCAAAATTGGAAACTGATGGAATTCTTATAATGGGAGCAGCAGGAGTTTTTAATAGAATACATATATTATTTTCTTGGCTTCCTTAATGATCTATATGGACAAAACTGTTCGAGGAATTAGATAAACAGAGTTTTGCAGAGTTGATCTGAGTACATTTCTAAAATCACCATTGTTTAAAATTTGCACCAGGATATTTTATGGCTGATATTTTGTCAGCATGTATTTTTATGAGCCATTTTAAAAACTGTCCCAGTAGAAATCATCACATTAATATAAACTATTATTGAGAAAACAATAAAATAGAAAATAGACTGTAGAGCAGGGTTACTCAAATCAAGGTCCGAGCACTGCTGGTTTTCCAGCCTTCCTTTACCTGTCAGTCAGGTGTGAAGCCTCTGACCAATCAGAATCAGTAATTATTAAACTAACTACCTGGGAGAACTGAAAACAAGGCCTAGATTTGGAATTGAGGTCCAGATTTGAAGAACCCTGCTGTAGAGTCTATTTATTCATGTGCATATGCAGGATTTATTAGCGAATTGATTTGTTGAATCATTGCTGTCAAACTTTATATCGGACTATTGGAATAGAGGCTGCTACAAATGCTAAGGGCACAGGTTTGGTGTCGACATTGGTAGGGGCTAAATGACCCCAAAAACCCTGTCCCCGTAAACACACACAGTACCCCACATTATTGGAAGGGGCATGTCCCTACCGTCCCTACCCAAACCTACACCCCTGATAAAAACATGTATCGACTCATCTTCCGACCACTTATCCTGATTAGGGTCACTGGGGTGTCTGGAGCCCGTCCCAGGCAGGTAAAGGTGGGTACACTCTGGCCTGGACACCAGTTCATGCAGCGCACACACACAGACACACTGTGAGCAATTTAGTGGTATCAGTTAGCTCAAGTGTGGTAAAAAGAAAAACATTGTTCTAGGGGGAAACCCACTCCATTCACTCAGGGTTAGCGGGGAGTTCTCGCCCCCCACCCTGGTGATGTGTGCCACTGTTAAGCCCACCCCCAAAGATGATTAAAAAAACAAAACTTCAAAAAGCACACTCTCAAAGGCTGCTTATTGCTTCAGAGGACACCTAGATTATTGCTGACCCTTGAGATTTAGTCAGTACTGTATGCACAATGGGATTCGGGACTGTTATTATAAATACTGGCAAAATCGGAACTTCTCTCCAGACCGTAGCTCTGTCCGGACAGAGTACTCAATAATGCGACTCATTGGAGTTATTCTGCTTGCTCTGTTGGCAAGAGCGCAGGATCCCTCTTGCAAATATTTGGGTAGTGCCGAAGTTCCTGATCTATCAAAAGAGGGAGACATCATAATCGGAGGTATCTTCTCATATGACACTTTGAATATCGAAGTGAAGCATGAATTCAAAGTTAAACCAACACTTTTCAAATGCAAGCGGTGAGTAAACGTATCTGGTACTTTGTGCAGTGTGCAGACTATGTGTAATTCTATAAAATTTAAATGTAATTGTTTCCAGAAATCAAATTAATTACACAAACTAGAATGGTAAGAGAACAGTATGTGAGTATATTCTAGAGTGTGGGAATACTACGAGATTTTTTTTCTTCTGGAGCCTTTAAAGAATCAAATCTTATGTTTCAAAAATTCATACTTATTTAGAGATCTGGAACTTTCAAAAACAGCTAAAATGTTACAAATAATGTGACTCAACAAGGAATAGAGTCATAGCACTGGATCTAACATATGTAATATTCTTGCTTTTTTAAACAGTGTTATTTGTAACCCAACAATCTGATTTTGGTTTTTCATTATAATGTTGTTGTGCAACGTAGAATGGGATGAAAATGCTATATTGATGTCTTCATCTTGTGGCTTTTTCTTTGCAGTATAAGTTTCAGGGTGTTGTACCTTTTCCATCTGTTGAATTACCTTTGTTCTCTATAAGAAAGAACTACAGGGAATATAAGCTTGCCCGTACGATGGTCTTCACCATTGCGGAGATTAACAGGAATAACAAGCTGCTCCCAGGTGTCACACTGGGCTACAGGATCTACAATGCCTGTGGAGACACCAACATCCTCAATGCAGCGTTGGCGGCTGCAGCTGGGCCAGAGAACTGCAGCAGTGCCAGGGTGCAGGCACTAATCGGCCCCCCCTCATCAGGAGCCAGTAGCACAGCCGGAAAAGCCATTGCCCCTTTACACATTCCACTGGTGAGAATCACTGTACAGTTCTGCTGATTGTTAATATGTTGCAATATTCCTGAGATTATATGTTTCTAT